GTTCGCCGTCCACATTTGTTCAATGCCAATGAGTGCAACAGCAACACACACACATGCATATGTAAGCGAACGACCTGCAGCAGCCACAGCAGTGCTCATTGTGTTGCAGGCTACTTGGTGGGGTGGCGGTGGCGGGGCGCGCAGGTGTTGTTGCGTTTGGTTACCAACCAACGACGAGTCAGATGAAAACAAATTTGCGCTTCAACACGCATCGTGCCTAAGTGAGTGGAACCAGGCAGGCATCAATGCGTTGCTGTCGTTGCCACAGCGCCAACAGCAACAACGTCTGCCGCAAATCACAAATGCACTCCACATAGATAAAGCTGTTTGGCAGCCACTTTGCTTTACAATTTGTAACCAGCTACAAATTGCGAGTTGTTTGCTGCATTTCGAGTTGCGTGTCGCATGCTGTTTTACTTATCCACTGGTACATATTTATTTTCATACATCTATGGTATATACATATTAGGGTGGGTAAAAAAAAAAACGAATTTTTTTTTTTTTTTCGCTTCGTACTCTGAAAAGTTAGTTGATAGACACCTCTAAGAAAGGCTCTTCACGGTCTACCGCCTAACAGTTTTCTATTTTTTCCCTATTATCAGATAGAACAATTCATATCTCGTGTCAACTACTTGAAAACATATTTCGCTTTGTGGATTTTGTAAGAAATCCCACATTTATGATGAAGACAACAAAAGTTGCGAAAACTCAATAAATAAATACGCCAGAGACATTAAATTTTACATCCGACCTTATTACGAGTCGATATCAAAATAAGAAAAGTGACCTTTAGATGAAGTCCCATATCTCACTGCTTAAACCGATTTCAACCAGATTCGGTACGTAATATTATGCTATCATTTCTATATTACGGTTTGAAAGTGGGTAACAATTACGCTCACTTTCCATATAAACAACTTTTAAACTCCCTCTGGTTCTCTAACTTTACAGTATACAAATCAAGCACCAATGAATATATCAGAACACAATGTTTCACAAATAGTGCGTTAAAGATATGCCATCTCAAGTCTAAAAATTGCCAAAATCGGACCATAACGGTTCAAGCCCTCACATAACGCATATGTGGATCTCAGTGCCTATGGCTAACTTTTTACGGAAAGTATCGGTCAGTCTGTAAGATTTATTATTGAAATTCGGAGAGAATTTTCTCCTGGTAATAAAGAATTTTCGCATTGTATCTAAAATGGATAAAATCGGATCAATATTTACCCTATCCTTCATATACAATTCGAGCTTCTGGTCAATATGAGAGGATTCTAAATAAAACTAATAGAATATCTTTTTCTGGTAATAAATATATCGTAATGCTAAAAATGAATAAAATCGTGGTAGTAATGCCCCTAGCCCCATATACCCAAACTTCCAGCTGCCTTTACAATAACCAGTAATTTGTTATATATCTTAACAAAATTAAGTTTAAAATTAAAATAATATTATAGTTTAATGCAGAAAGTGAATAAAATTGGGCAACAATTTGTCCTAGCCCCCATGAACTACATACAACCATCTTCGTTATCTTAGCAGTCTTTATGCCACATATGTAGGTCAGTGTGTGTTATCTTCATAAAATTGCATGGAAACATGCATGCCTCTTTGGTTGAATTTATATCACATATATCTAATTTGTGTTAACTAAGTTAATATTACTTATCATATCTCGGATATGAAGTAAAATATAGTAAAGAGGCTAAGTAAGTCTACGACCTATAAAATAAGTTAATATGGTACCAAATATGATTATAATCTTGTCATAATTTCATCGAATTATGAATGCTGTATTCTTTCTAATTTTTTTAAACAAGTTTTGCCAACTTTTAAAAGTATTTCCCCGACTTTGATCCTTGTGAGCATTTAAAATGTGCGGTTAACCAAACCTAGACCTTCTTTACTCCTTTTTTCTCTTAATATTTTGTTGAGAAGTGATAATATAATATAAATATGAAAATTGCGTTATGCCTAGTAACATATGACATATGATATATTCCAATGAATTGTGTCCATTAAACCATAATCCAAAGAACTTCCAACTCTACACCGACGCTAACAATATCAACCTAACCGAGTCGGCATGGAGTAACCCGCAGGTGTATATGTATGTAAGTAAAAACATATGTCACCCTGTCTCATACACACATATATGTATTTGAACTCGCAAGTGTTTGATTAAAAGACGGTATCTTCATTGTTGGCCTCGCAGGCAGATGTTGCTCCAAATGATTGCGTGCTTATGAGCGTGGCGCTGCTCTACCGCAAACTCGCTCCTATGAATAACACAAAAGTATATATGCACATATGTTTCTTCTATAACATGCGTGCGTGAATCTCCGTTGTTTTGTTTACCTTGCTGACAAGTATACGCAGCCACTCGTGCATAAATCATTTTCTGTACGCGAAGCTGCGACGCGTTGCATTGCGTGGCGTTGACTTGCTTCGCTGGTTACTGGTGGTTACTCATACGCCACGCACACTCCACAAATCCGAGGTATAATAAGAACCTAACAAACTTAATAATTTTCTTCTACTCTGCTTCTGCATCTTTATCTGTCAGTTCGTGTGTTCTGGCATATTTCTTTTGCCTTCCTTGTTGCAATGCTTGATTGAGATGAGGCGCACACATCGCGGAAGCTTAGTGGTAGTGTGGCGACGGGTGAGAAAAAGTTGTTACTTGAAATCCCTCAAGTTGTTGCTTTGCACGCAACTTTGTTTTAATTTATTTTTATTTTTTGTGTACTTTTCTTTTGCAGTATTGTTTTTAATTGCAATTCTTGATTTCATCTTTGCCACATTTAATTGCCGCATTTGATATCTGTTATTTAATGACATGCGTCTCAGCTGCTTGGCCTCACTAATATTGCGGCCTTTTAAGTATTTAATTACTCATTTTCACACACATACACACTAATTTATAGAAGCAAATTTTGCATATTAAATTTATTGATTCATAAAGTGTCTATAAATAGCAGTTCATATCGAATTCATGCCACAGAACTTTGATTTTTTTATGTGTGTGTGTGCAAACGGCTATAAAGTCTGAAGTAACGGTTAACTATTACAGTGTTAATGTGTAAGCAGATAAAATTGCAAGTCATATAAATATTATTTTACTGCTATACTAGCTGCTCTCAGTTACAGCGTGCGCTGGCGCCGCTGCCAGCTAAGTGAGACGTCACACGGCGTATACGTAACATCAACAATTGCCGCCAATCACGTGCGAATTAATATATAATATCTGCTGTGGTAAATAATAGCCGCGCATTATGCAGACACATATGCAAATGCTTTGCACACACGCACATGCACAGGTATATGTGCTTATTATTCTTCATTGGCATGTCCTTGCTACAGGGGCTGGACTTAAATTGTGTGCTCATAAATAATTGACGCATTAAAATCAATAAATTGACAAGGTAATTGTGCGGAAGTGTTGCCGCGTACGAATATCGCACATTAATAATGAAAATATAGCAATATAAGCCATTATGTATGTATGTGTGTGTGTGTGTGTGTGTTTATTCGCTGGTGGTGTCACTTGGCTTAATTCTTTGCTTTTGAATAAATTATTTATTTGCGTAAAATGCAATGAATATTAAAGGATCTGATCTAAACCGCACAGTATTTGGCATATATTTAACAATTCTATATTTGATTTAACGTGCTCTAATGCACTTTAGTAGATTTGTATTGTATCGCAGATTTGATTTGATGGTGATGGAAGTTTCAGGTTAAATAAGGAGTTCTAGAATATCGTTTAATAACTTTTTGGTGTTTCCTTATTATAACTTCGCCCCAAAAACTGCTCATTTGTCGAAATAGGCGATCGGATCTCTGTAGGATCTCTGTCTTAACAATGCTACAATTTCCGAAAATATAGTTGAAATTAGCAAACTGACTGATGAAAATCAGGATAAAGCTCCTTATACAAGATGTTTTTCCCTATTAAGTAACCATAATTCGTCTTGAAGGTTGTTAGTATCAAATAGCGTGATACTAGACATAACTAGCAAAGCGTTTTCCGTTGGATGCAAACCGTTGGTCGATTACGTGTACAGTTTAGTTATACATGCAGTTGCTATAAGAAATATACCTGTGGAGAGTATTATAGCTTGGGTGCAGCCGAAGTTAACGTTTTGTTTTGTTTTTATGTTCGAAATATCTAATCAGTATGCTACTTGAATTTATAATACGCAAAATTAACCTATTCGACCAATTCGAAAATTCTAAGCTGATTTTTGTCAGCCTTAGCACCAGATCATATTATCGTTAAACAAGCAGTCTTTCTTTAATTCCATGAGCACTGCGGTTAGGTATTTGGATTCTAGAAAATGTATAGACCGGTTTAGAAAATTGTGAGATGAGAGTTGCCACACATTTGCGGCACTAATTGTGTCAAGTTATTTCCGTTATGTTCATTGGCGCTTGATTTATATATGGTAACATTCTAGAATCAAATGGAATTTCATAAGGGATATGGACTTTTAAGAAATGTTATACATCACAGTTGTGTGAAATTGCTTGAGTAGTTTCTAAAGTGCGAGGCCGCAATTGGAAGAATTCGATCTTCACAAAACCTCGTTCAAAACAAGACGGGGCTACATGCCACACAGCACATTCAACAACCGAATTATTGCTTGAAAACTTTGGAGATTCGATAATTTCAAGAAATTGTGTTATTCATGACATACGACTTGATTTAGTGGAAAAAGTGCTCGAAAATTGGGTTCATCGAATTTGTTCCTGCAAAAAAAATCTTGGAGGCCATTTGAGTGATGTTAAATTCAGAGCTTAATTGTATCGACTGTACTTCACATTAAATGGAAAAACATTTGAATTTCCTTAACAATCAGTGTTTTTTTTTGAAATTATATCAATGTTATTGGAAAACCCTATATATATGTATAATGTATACCAAAATAGTCACAAATCTATGTTTATTGTACAATAACACAAATTGATGGCAAATAATGGGACATACTCAATTATTCAATTATCAATTTAGCAGATTGTTTAGCTTACGTTACACAATAGATGCCACGAAATTGATTCAGTCACTGTATTTGGTTTGGTAACGCATGAGAAGTGCCTTTGATTTCCTATCTCTTAAAAAAATATTTTTCAAACATTTTAATAAACACGTTGCACTTAATCTGTCACTTTTATTTGTTGGAGCAAATAATCATGATTGTATTTGTATGTAATTATGGTATTATAAAATGTATAAACCAACAATAATAATTAATGCTGTTCACCAATATGTTTTTTCAGACCGGCCAGGATATCGAGGAATCGCTGAACGCGCCTCAGCCGTCTAACCGGTGGTCCAGGTTGCTTCATAAGGGGTTCCTTTATTGGTTTGGTAGCGTCGATGCGCTAAGTTTTCTAATACTGGTGTTATTCTTTCGGATGGTAGATGCGAATGCAATATAATACACATAAAATCAAAATTTTATAAGTGAAATGTGAATATAATAGAAAAAATGCTATATTGATTAAAAGAAAATATGATTATATTTTTTTAATGAGTATTATTCTTTTTGAAACCTTTTAAACTAGTTTTTGTAATTACAAATATAAAAAACCAATAATTATTTCGTATAAGGTAAAACAACAATCAAAAAAAAATAGATATATGAGTACAAACTACACTTGACACAAGTAAAATGTCACAATAAATTTGTATAAACAGTTGCAGGTCAGAAAAAACGTTTTATTTTTTAGTGTGAATTTGTTTTAAGGAGAAATTTTATTTAAAAAATAAATAAAAAAAATTACATATATTGTAATTTAATAATCGGCGTTCAATTTTGAAACATTTTGGATTTACCCGCATAGTCGATCTTCAGGAGGACTTCTGACGGTGTGAAGGATATTTCTGCTTAAAATTATCTCGAATCAAAAATCAAAAAAATATTTATTTTTGCTATACATGAATACAAGTCAGTTTAGAGTAACTTATAAATCAAAATTGTTATCAAAAATTAACAAATATATCTGAGAGACATCTTGTTTTGGCGAACTTTTCCGCCAGTAAAAAGAGTTTCGCGAAAATCGCGTTTAAAAATTTGGGAGCCGATTACACATTCAAAACTGACCGGACCAACTTTACAGTTTCGTAGGAATTTCTCAAACATTCGATTTAATAAGTAAAAAAGGTTAAATTCGGTTGAATCGAAGCTATAATATCCTTCACAAATACAAAAAGATTTCTTATAAGAACTTTGATCATCCAGTTTGTATAGCAGCTATATGCTACAGTAACTCAATCTGAACAATTCTTGGCAGTTTACTCCATTGCCTTGGACAATAATCCACGTAACATGTCTTGAAGATATTTCGACAAATAAAAATGTTTTCTATACAAGCACTTTATTCCTATCGATCAGTTTATATGGTAGATATTGCTATATTGGTTCGATATCTCAAAAATTGAGAGAATAAGGTATAGGTGATACGCTCTATTTCTACTTACGAGCACTCTTTGTCCTACAACGCCACTACAACACTACTATTATCACAATAATCTATTTTCAAAATTATTTTTACACTTCAAATAAAGTTCAGCTTTAATCAAAAAATAACCAATAAATGCCAGCTTTAATAGCCACATACACACACTCCCCACAATTTTAACACAAAACAACTTCCCTCAAATGAAAGTCAGCAAAACAAAACTTCCTCCCCCGACAACTTAAGTTTCATTAATCCAAAATGTCAATACAACCTCAGCTTGAAACAAATAATAAACCAAACTAAATAAATAACTCAATACTTTTGTTGCTTAGTATTTTGTTGTTGTCACTTTTCTACTACTACTCGTATGTACTTCTATGTCCGAGTGGCTGCAGCGAAAGCAGTGCGTCAGACAAGTATTGCGATTCCGTGCCATATCGTGGACGCAGCAGCGCTCCTAATGAAGGGTAGATAGTGTGAGCCGGAAAGTTCTGATTACAAGCTGTAAGTTGTTAGTTGTTTGTTATGCGTTTGTTGTTATTGTTGAGGGAAATTGTGTCACAAAAATACTTGATTACGCTTACAGAATTTCTTCGGGTGTAGGAAGCGCTATTTACAGCAAGGAAAACAACAATACCGAAGCAAGCAAACAAGTTTTATTGACGAATCGACATATGCTTGCGATAATCAAATTTCGCGACTACATACTTTCAATTTGCTACAAAACTATGACTGAAGAAATTATTTGCGAAAATAGGGTTTCCGACTGGATGAAGAAGCAGTAAATGTGGAACTTAGAGTAGAGACAAAATCTCCCGAGTGTGCCTGCTTTTATTCGATGGTCGCAGTTATATCGTGCAATAAACTTCTTTGGTTCTAAACAATAAATAAAAAATACAACTCTAACGGTTTTTCGAAATTCGAAAAATTTCGAAAGTTATTGCTATTCATATATTTTGCATGATAACAGTTATTTTCTCTTAACAGACCGAACCGATTTCGATTATATTCAGTACGATTGTGAATGCAAATCCTTCATTTGATATTACTAATTTTTGCAAAAAAAACAATGTTTGTAAAAAATACAAACAATTTTTTTAAAGAAATTCAATTAGAGTCAGCTTCTCAATCTCTTTAATATTTATTTTTTATTTTTCATTTAGAACCAAAAAAATTTGTTGTACGAGAAAAGCTTGACCATTGAAAAAAAGCAGTCACACTTGGGAGATTTTGTCTCAGCAAGCACTGCCTGCAAAAATATACTGATATTTGATTTATGCACATATATACATAACAAATACCAGTTTTGAGTGAACAAACCCTATTTAATATGAGTGTGTATTCTTCTGAGCCTTATACAATGGCTTAACCATATTCGAGCAAAAAGAAATTTACGTGCAGACGGACAGACAGACGGACATGGCTAAATCGAATCAGCTCGTCATGAAGTTCAGTTTGTAACACACAGAAGGAAACGTCGGTGAGCTTATAAAATATATACTGAAAAGATCAGGGGGCCCGGTCTGAGGAACACGGAGGCTGCGGCACCATCAATGTGTTTTTTTCACCAAATACGAGGTGTGTTCATGCTGACAAGAGCTTGAAGCATAAGTCGAGGTATGAAATTTGACGAACCGGACGATACAATCGTGCGTTGACTTTCACGAGCAACCAAAACTACAGCAATTTTCAACTGATAACTACTAGGGTAATGTGGTACCTCAGAAGCATTATACCAATTGACGGAGAAGCTCATGCCAACTGTAGAATGAACAAGAGCGGCATTTGGACGGCTGCAATCAGTGTGGGCAAGCTCGCAAATCTCCAGAAGCATAAATCCCAAAATATGCTCCGCATACATGAAGTTGACGCTGTTGTATGTAAGCGAAATATTGTTCGTCTCGAACTCCATCAATCAGAGAATAAACCCAAAACAACCAAACGCTATGGAGTTTAACGAAAGAGGAACCCGCACTAAAGCAATCAAAACGCAGAAAATGATGCTAGATCATGGTCATACTCTAAGCAAGACTCCAGAGAGCATAACGAAGATAGCGCTTGGCTGGAATTCGGAAGGAAGCTGAAGTTGTGGACGACCAAATTAAAATGGAGGAGGTAGGTACTGTGCGAATTAGCCTCTATCAAAATCACCTGGCGCAAAGACCTTAGCTAACAATCGTGTAAAATTGCGCGACTTTGTAGAGGTACCACCCAGCAAGTCACGGTCACCGAAACTCTAATACATTGGAAGAATAAGCGCGGCTTAGGCATTTAAAAGGATTCTCTCATTGTCTCCACCCCGTGCTTCCGATTAAGTTCATCAGTTCAAAAAGTTTTATCTATGCAACGTCAAGAAACCCTCGACCGATAGCTGTGATTCTTTTCTTATACAAAGCTCTGAATTCGCATAGATGATGTTTTATAGTCTCCTCTCCTTCTACAATACCTCCTGACAACTTCTACAATAGTCATTATTATGCAGGCATGTCTAAGCTAACATAATCTTTAACAGATATCTCTAATAATTTAACCGACTGGTGGCTTTTAGGGTATGCTGCAGAGAGGAGTACAAGAGAAAAAATATGGTTATAAAATTTACCTATGTAAATATAATCAAATCTTTAGATATTATTTAAGCTCAAGTTAGTTTTATATACTAAGAAATTTTTGAAAATTAAAAAATTACTTTTCTAAGATGAAATATTTTATATAAATTTAAATATTTTTTCAAAGAAATACATCACTTTTTGACAAAGTTGAATGAGATAAAGTTTCGCTATAATAGTGATAGTATTTAGATTTTTTTTTTAATATTTAGGAGGTCATAGTTGTAGATTAACATGGTGTTACCATAAAACTTTCTATGTGTGGAGTGATGTCTTTTAGAAAGCTTCTTAGGCAACGGTTTTCGCTCAATTCGAATCCAAGTCGTTGCGGTTCGACTTTCGTGAGAATAGATATTCAGACTAGATCAAGATTCAGACCCTCTACCTTATCCTTCTTTCTATTCCTTTTAAACATTTTTCCACATGCATATTTAATTTATAACTGTACATCTCCTAATATAGCAACTGTATCTGAACTTACGGATCTTCCCGTGATTTGGAGCAAGCTTAATGTGCGAATTTTGCGGTCAAATGGTCTAATAAAACCGTCATTCGACGCTTATCAGCGCTTCTGTTGGCTTTACAGACGCCGCCGTTACTTTATTACGACGCAGCTGTCACAACGCCAATTAGATAATCAGGCAGCAGTGAAGTAGCAAAATATAAAAGTACACGTAACTAAACACGAAGCGATAAATATACAAACCTCCATATGGGTATGTGCTCGTGTGCACAGGTATACCTGATTGCCTGCGCGTTGTCATTAGAATGTTAAAGCATCCCTGCAGGCATCCATCACACTTCGCACATCAGAAATGAAGAGCACATCAAATGGTTATCACATCATCATAATATGATGTACGTGCCACAACCGCCAACAAACGGATTGTTATTAACAACTAAGTAAGTGATTATGTTTGTGTGTATGTTTGTATGTATTTAGGGTACTTATGGGTATATACATATATACGCATGGTCGTCTATTTGTCCTCCTTTTCATGTCACATAATTTTCATATAAGACGCTTACGGTTTACCGCATACAAACCAGGGGGCGGGGAAGGTGAACAACAAAAAAAAGTTTGCGAAAGTAAAAATGAAGAACTTAAATTTTAAGTATTGTAGAAATAGCGAAGTGTCAAAAATAACTGGGTGATATAAATTTCGAGCGACACTTAACATCCACGACAGACAGCAGCACATTGGCACAAAAACAACATATACACTAACTAATTTATGCTTTCATACCCTGAACAGGGTCTATTAATTTACCACGAAGTTTTGAACACCTAGAAGAAAACGTCGGAGATTCTATAATATGCGAGTATATAAATGATCAGCGTGACAAGCTGTGTCGGTTTAGCCATGTCCGTTTGTCCGTCTATCTGTATATATTGATCTGAAAATTTGCACACGTCTTTTTCTCCCCAAGAAGCTACTCATTTGTTGGAAC